GCAAGTTATATTCAATTTGCTTTTAAAATCTTTCTTTTGTTGCAATTTTTATTTCTTACTCCAGTTATAACATAGCTAAGGATGTAACTTTTTTTTTAAATGAGAAAGCAGGTTTGATCCTAAATTATATTCCTTATGCTCAAATGACTACCCCCACTCCCAAATCCTCAAGAGTAAAAGATGGATGTGTTCTCAGCCTATATACACACTTTTAGAGGTCAGGGAGGGAATAGCTGGCCTGGTAAGCATTTAGTATTGCATTGTAAATTTGAAATTGTCACACTGGAAGAAATAATGGCAGTGTTCTTATTAAAGCTCACTGAGAAATTATTGCTTGCCACTTTGCATTTGAGCATTTAGTTCTGCAAAATAACAGGACCAAACTAAAGTGTCTGATTAAAGCAGGTAACTAGAGTGATATCAAAATATGAGTGGCTTTCTTTTGAAGCCTTAAGATGCATCTCATGTTGTATTCCCAATGGTAGTCAGCAAGATACTTCCAAAAAGCCCACAAGCAAAGAATGAAGGCAACAACCCTGTCATGCTCTTTGTTTCCAGCATCTTGATTTTACAGCTGGGATTGGCAACATGTGTCCTACTGTTGGCTATGCTGGCTAGAGCTGATTGGTGTTGCCATCCAGCAATATCATAAGGGCCACACATTCCCTACACTGATGCAAAGGGAAGAGTCACATGAAGATTCTGCGGATAAAGATTCATTTTAGCTAACAAACATTGACAGATCACTTACTGCAGTGGTTCTCAATCTTGGGTCCCCAGATGTCTTCAGCTTTGTGGGTTCGGTGGGGGAAAAAAAAGAAAAAAAGACGAAGCTTCCAAAAGACCACAACAGGTCGCCTGAGTTCTGGTATCTGTGCACAGGTCTCAGAGTGGACTGGCAGAGAAAGGAACAATTGACAAGGTTCTTCTTGGGGGCACAGTGTGTGAGGAAATTGAGTGTGGCTTAAGCAAAAATAAAATAAACTTTCCTATTGGTTACGCAGTAGTTAAAATGGTTCTGGCAGAAACCTACAAAACAGACTGGTTTCAAATCTCCCTCGGTAGACCACACCTTATTTGTTTTACATCAACTGCCACTTATTGTCTCAACACATTCACTCAGAGACTCAGTAATGAGAAAGAAAAAAATGTTTCCATTTAATTACAGTTCTTCATAATTTTTTAAAAAATCCAAATCATCATATTGTGTAAAAACACTGACATCACTGAACTTTACTGGTTAATTAGCTTCATTACTGACTAACTGATTGGTTACATAGCTGACAGAACACTTCATTCTGACTGGCCACTTTTGACAGAATCCACTGCTAACATTGAAAGAAATATGACTGGATAAAGGTGAGAAAAAGCATCTGAGGTAGGCAGGGAACTATTAGCTGCTACTGAGTTGACTGGTGTTCAATTCCAGTCCAGAAAAGTCCCCCCCCCAAGCTAAAAATGCCTTAAAGGCACCATATGCAGGTTGCAATATATCCAACAGTTCTGTGTTGGCTGAAAGTTGGAGAATACTGAAGCTCTGCTGACATAAACAAGATCTATGAATGAACTCTATACAGGCTGTCATCATCGCTGGAGAGAAAGGAATCTACTGGGTACAAGAAATCCATTTTGCCTCCTATCACCAATCACCAAACAGAACAGCAGTGAGGGTTTATCAGTACCAAGAAGCCTATTAAAAACCATGCATATATGTTCCATTGCTTCAGCAATCACTGGCTTGCACTTACATAACCTATAGGCTGCCCCCACTGAAAGCAACATGGCTTATGTGTGCACAAGAATGTAGTGAATACCCCCTTGAACAATTGGGGGGGAAAGTCAATCAGATAAGCAATAAGCTCCTGGGCATATTGGGGGAAGAGAATTCCAAAATTTCAGCCAATGCTTATTTGATTAGCATAAAAATACAGAGTACTGCTAATACGTTTTCTTAAAGCTACATCATTAAAACTACTGAAGGTGATCTTAATCTAAAAGCAGACCTCATCCAACCCAATGCCCTTCAGAGACATTGGACTGTTCTATCATCCCATATCAAGCACCGCAATGAGTAACAGGCTTTGTGTTTCAACATATCAGGGATACACTAGGTTGGGAAGTCTCACTTTGGACCTAGAAAGAGAATGGGCAATACTCTACTACACCAATAGCAGGTACTTCCCACAGAATAATGATCCCTATATATGCCTTCCTGCTCCCTGCTATATCTACCACGTATTCATGTCTGGCATGTTGCACAGGATATGCTTCTCCCAGGTGCTTGCACCTTTCCTTCAGCTTTTAAAGTCTGCCCCCTTCATCCCATATCTAGTGCTGTCTTCTCCACATCACTCACTTTGCATGCCTGCTTTCATTGCCACTGCTTGGAAGCTCATGATCACAGCTCGCTTACATCTCCAAGCAGTTTCCACCTCCTTTGCCACTCAGATGTGAGGCAGGTTGCTCAGGCGTTTGTTTTCAGCTGCTTTTACAGGCAACCAGACTCTGCTTTAAAGTGGCAAAATCTTTCTTTCATTTGGCTTTTAATTAAGCAGTTTATTGTGGTCATGCTGTTTATGTTTTAATATCTATTTCAGAGCAAACTGATGACAAGGTAACATGGACTGTGAAAATCCACAGTTCTAATAACATTTTTAATCACCTTGGCCTCTGGTGTTTTGTTTTGTTTTTTTGTCTATAGCACTTCTGTTTATCATTAAGTGTTCGCTTAATTTCTAGTACAGTTGAACCATACTAGCAAATGAATCACTTCCTACAGTTCTGTGCTCATAAAAAGTACCCACTGCTTCACTTCGTATACCCTCCTTGTTTAATAGAAACATTCAGCCCACTAAGGGGAACCTAGGCATCATCACTCAGTGGTCTGCTGCAGATATGATACTGGCTTCACAGAAGGCAATAAATCCACTTACTTACCAAGGGGTAAGTTCTTCCTCCTCTGATCAGTACAGTCATTTATACCAATGGAAGTGGATTGCAATCTTTTTTCCTACCAAGGATTCTAATGACTGGAGAAATTTTCACAAGGTAAAAGAAAAAAAAAGGCAGCATCGTGGCATCTTCAAGATTATCAAATTCATGACAGCTCTCACAGACACACAGCACAATTCCCCACATGGAGAGTTGGTGGTCCATATTTGCATGTAGCAGGTGGCAACAAAATGAGGCACTACCTCAAGCTAAATTGACTGACAGTAGTCTTTAAAAGAACTGCTTGTTTTCTTTTGCTTTTCTTCAAAGTTCTCAAGCCTTAAACTTAAGATTTCTATTTTACATGTTTGAAAAACTTACCTGTTTGCTGTTCTTTGAATTACTTTTTAAAATTAATGTTTCACTGCATTTAAGGACTACTAAAACCAAACAAAAATCGTAGCCATATCTCCAAAGTTACAGTTCTGTATGAGTCACCATGTGATGAGCCCGCTATGTAGAGTGTGTGACTGACTGGGCTTGAACGTAACCGTCACTGTCAGTTTAGCATCACGAAAACTATACCTCCTATAGATTGGATATCAGTATGTTATTGTCTCCCCTCTTCCTCATTAATTCCAGTTCCCTTTTTCCCTTTTGTCACCCCTTATGTTAAAAAAAAATTAAAAAAATTGAAAAGAAGAAAAGAAAACAATACCTCCTACCTCAAGCGCCATGTCTATACTAGCCTATTAAGAAAAGAGATTTAAATGCCACACAATAAGTAAATAACGTATCTATTGTACAAATAACCATTAGTGATGTGAACATTGCCACTGCAGTTGTGCAAAACTAGATTTTTAAAGAAAAAACTGAAACCATTTATTATTCAAACTCAAAATAATAGTTCACAATAGTAAAAACCAGAATAATACAGTAAAGCCAATTGATTAAATAGTAGACTAGCAATCTCATTAAAATCATTGGAGTAAGTGATAAGGTCAACATTTGGAAAAATGCCTGAAACAATGACACAAAGTAGACAAGATACAGTCAAGGATTCATCTGCAGATGACAATCACAGTAGATCAGTTCCAACCATACATGAAAAGTCCAGTTTCACCCCATGTGTGGAACGTGCAGGAGTTTACAAGCAGAGGCTATATTCAGATAGCCTACATTTGCACCAATAGCTGAGAACAATCCTCATAGTTTATTTGTTTATTTATTTATGTATTTGTTACATTTATAGCCCACCCATCTAGTCGTACCAACTACTCTGGGCGGGTGACAATGTATCAAATCTAAGTACAATTTAAAAACATAACAACATATTACTAAAAACGCAAAGATCCAGATAGGAAAGGAAAGAGAACAAAATCAGGCGGTGGATGGAGGAAAGGCTTGCTAGTTCCACACATATAATCAGATCTCATCCTGCAGAGATATCCAAACAAGCCCAATGACCATCCTTTCCAAAAATATTTTGTATAAACGCTATAATATGACAATTCTTCATTGATCCTACCTCTGCACAAAGACACTGTAAGAATTTTTATTTTATGTTCAATTTTTATTCAAGAAGGATGAAGTAAGTTTATAGTGCATACAAGGCCTTGTAACTAAGGTTAGTGCCTATATACTTAGATTAATTCACACTTATATCAATACACATGTTGTTATGATGCAGCTTATCCTTCATTTTCCTTAGGGTCAATAAGAAAAAGAATTCCTACTAATTAGCACTAGAACTTCACTTCATTATCATAGGACAGTTTCATTTGCAGCTCTTGTCTTTTCTCTTTCAAAAAAGTTACACAAGTACTTGCATAACCTGCCAAGCCAGGAAAACCATGGAGAATTCACAAAATATCTCATTAAAATATCTTCCTTCATGGAGAAAAATAACCTAAACAGTTCACAACTGTCAAAAATGCTGCTCTGATGGCAGTAAAATAATATATATCATCAAAGTTCTCCCATTATACAGAAATTACCAGTAATTGTCACATAAAGAGAAGTTGGACAGGATAAGGAAAATATTAAATTTTTTGTACATAGCTGCTTACCTTAGAATGCATAGGCATACTTTGCCTCCTGAAGTTAACCGGCAAAATCCAAATCTTTGTTTGCTTTCTATGTCAGTGAGCACAAAAGTAAAGTGTTGTCCAACATGTGTCACCCTGCGAACAAAATAAATACATATATATTACATATTTCTCCCCCATATATGTGAGAAAAACATGTTTATACATTAATTTAAGTTCACCAACATAAATTGGAGAAAGGGACACTTACATTATTTGGAAAAGGGGACCGCACTTTGATCTAATAAAAACATTTATAAATAGCTGGAGTAGTAGGGCATTACCAGTCTGGTTCACCTTGGAACTGCAGCCTGATTACTACACAGGGTGGATTTAAATCAAATTTATTTAAATAAAGTTTTTAAAGATTGATTCTTAAATAATTTAAATTGTGATTTAAATCAATTTGATTTTAAAAAACCATTGACTGTTATCTATACTTATCTTACCTGTCCTCAAATGGTTATTATGTGCATCCCAATTCCCTCCAAAGGAGAAGAGGAAATAATTTTCTACTGACTCAGATTATTAGTGCATCTAATTTGGACTAATGTGATGAACAACATCTCTCCAAGATTTCAGAAATAAATAAACTTTCCTGTCCTCCTTCAAAATGCCAGAGGAAGCACCCAGATTTTGCATGACCTCTAATAGTGACCAGAAATCAAAGCCTGCCATAATAGAGGTTTATATACAATGGAGTCTTCTGTTTAAAAGACCTGTATTTGTAGCCACCTGATGGAAGTTCAAAACAAATTAATCAGGATTCAGACACTGTAATAGTCATTTTCCAAACTCCAATGTTTCCTATCAGAACCATCTAGAACTAGAACCTCTCTATCTGTTACTGGTGTCCCTTACAGCTGGCAGTTTAAGGCTGGAAACAAAAGCAGACTAAAATATTTCTGTTAACTGTCCAGATTCTAGTACAGAAGGGCCCCTGTATCTGTGGAAGATCAGTTCCAAACCCCCCCCTCACAGATGCAGAAAATGATGGGTAATAGTGAATACTATACATAGCATGGTCTTTGCCTGTTTCTAGTGGCCAGTGGATTCCAAAAGATCTCCTGTATGGAGAATTAGTGACCACAGCTGCGATACAAGGATATCTGCAAGTGGGATCTGAAGGCCTTAGGAATGGACCTCAACTGATGGGAAACCCTGACATCTGAGCATTCAGCCTGGAGGCAGGAGGTGGAGCATGGGCTCTCCCAATTTGAAGAGACCCTTGTTCAGCAGACCGAGGCAAAGAGGCACTCCCAAAATCAGGGAGCTGGACATGGGCAGACTGTATTTGTCTTCAGTGTAGAAGAGATTGTCACTCTCAAATTGGCCGTCTCAGTCACACTAGACACTGTTCCAAGATCACTATTCAGAGCACATTACCATAGTCTCTCGAGACTGAAGGATGCCTACTACTAGTGGCCAGTTCTGGCAATATGTATTGCTATAGTGAACCCTATATGTCGAATGCTCTCTGGCTCTAGTGGCCAGTTCTGGTAACTACATTGTAGAAATATGTATTTCTGGGATTTGTCTTTTAAAAGTTTTAATATTTTCAGATTACAAACAAATGAAACTGCAGATCCTGATTTTGCAGATACGGGGATTCTCCTATATTGCTCTGTGAGGAACTGGTTCAAGTAGTTATTCAAATAGTTCAAATAAATGAACTATTTGAATAAAATCAAATAATCAAAACCTGATTACATTCAACTCAAAACTTGATGGAGTTTGCTAATGATTATGAGATGTACCCTGATTTTACCTTGGAGAACTCATTGGCCAGGATCCTACCACTGTTAATGTAAAAGTTCTATCACTTGCCAAGGCTAACTGCAGTTAGCTGATTATGTGCTTGAGTGTGTTTCCATTGTGTGCCTGGTTAGCTGCCCAGCTGTGCAACTGACACACATTCCAGCAGACAAAATAACTGACAATTAATTGTGAACATCATTTCGAATCTGGCCACTGAGAATTTGCAATTCACTATCGATAAGCACTTCTGATTTTGAAGCATGTGGATTGCTTCTTCCTAGCATTAGTCCCTACAAAAATTAAAAGCTTACATACAAATGAAACACATTTCCTTGCACTCTTAGGGCTAAATCCATTACTGTTATATACACTGAATTGTTGTTGTTGTTGTTGTTGTTTAGTCGTTAAGTCGTGTTCGACTCTTCATGACCCCATGGACCAGAACACGCCAAGCCCTCCTGTCTTCCACTGCCTCCCAGAGTTGGGTCAAATTCATGGTGGTAACTTCGATGACACTGTTCAACCATCTCATCCTCTGTCATCCCCTTCTCCTCTTGCCATCACACTTTCCCAACATCAGGGTCTTTTCCGGGGATCCTTCTCTTCTCATGAGATGGCCAAAGTACTGGAGCCTCAGCTTCACGATCTGTCCTTCCAGTGAGCACTCAGGGTTGATTTCCTTCAAAATGGATAGCTTTGTTCTCTTTGCTGTCCAAGGGACTCTCAAGAGTCTCCTCCAGCACCACAATTCAAAAGCATCAGTTCTTCGGCGGCCAGCTTTCTTTATGGTCCAGCTCTCACTTCCATACATCACTACTGGAAAAACCATAGCTTTGACTATGCGGACCTTTGTCGGCAAGGTGATGTCTCTGCTTTTTAAGATGCTGTCTAGGTTTCTAATTGCATTCCTCCCAAGAAGCAGGTGTCTTTTAATTTTGTGGCTGCTGTCACCATCTGCAGTGATCATGGAGCCCAAGAACGTAAAATCTGTCACTGCCTCCATGTCTTTCCCTTCTATTTGCCAGGAGGTGATGGGACCAGCTTAGTTTTTTTTTATGTTGAGCTCTTTCACCCTCATTAAGAGGTTCTTTAAGTCCTCCTCACTTTCTGCCATCAGAGTGGTATCATCTGCATATCGGAGGTTGTTGATATTTCTTCGGCAATCTTAATTCGGATTTGGGATTCATCTAGTCCTCATGATGTATTCTGCACGCAGCCTTGTCCTACTCCTTTCCCAATTTTGAACCAGTTGTTCCATATCCAGTTCTAACTGTTGCTTCCTGTCCCACATATAGATTTCTCAGGAGATAGATAAGATGATCATTTCCATTTCTTTAAGAACTTGCCATAGTTTGTTGTGGTTCACACAGCCAAAGGTTTTTGTGTAGTCAATGAAGCAGAAGTAGATGTTTTTCTGGAACTCTCTGGCTTTCTCCATGGTCCAGTGCATGTTAGCAATTTGGTCTCTAGTTCCTCTGCCCCTTCAAAATCTAGCTTGTACTTCTGAAGTCTACCTTGTAGGATTTTGAGCATAACCTTGCTAGCATGTGAAATGAGTGCAATTGTTTGGTAGTTGGAGCATTGTTTGGCACTGTCCTTCTTTGGGACTGGGATGTAGACTGATCTTTTCCAATCCTCTGGCCACTGTTGAGTTTTCCAAACTTGCTGGCATATTGAATGTAGCACCTTAACAGCATCATCTTTTAAGATTTTAAATAGTTCAACTGGAATACCATCATCTCCACTGGCCTTGTTGTTAGCCAGGCTTTCTAAGGCCCACTTGACTTCACTCTCCAGGATGTCCGGCTCAAGCTCAGCAACTGCACTATCTGGGTTGTCCATGACGTCCAGATCTTTCTGGTATAATTCTTCTGTGCATCCTTGCCACCTCTTCTTGATGTCTTCTGCTTCTGTGAGGTCCCTGCCATTTTTGTCCTTTATCATGTCCATCTTTGCACAAAAGGTTCCTCTAATATCTCCAATTTTTTTAAACAGATCTCTGGTTTTCCCCTTTCTATTATTTTCCTCTATTTCTTTGCACTGTTCATTTAAGAAGGCCCTCCTTGCTATTCTTTGGAAGTCTGCATTCAATTTTCTGTAACTTTCCCTATCTCCCTTGCATTTTGTTTCCCTTCCCTTCTCTGCTATTTGTAAGGCCTCCTTGGACAGCCACTTTGCCTTCCTGCATTTCCTTTTCTTTGGGATGGTGTTTGTTGCTGCCTCCTGCACAATGTTACACTGGGTAAATTCAATGTATATAACAGATGCTTTCCCAAGGTTAAATTAGTTCAGTGAATTACTCTACTTGGGACTAACAACTGGATTTAGGGAAGGCTCAAGGATCAAAAATACAGAGAGCTGGATCCTCTACCCTCAAGCTGAGCTGCTTTTGACACAAATAAGAGAAATGCAGCAGACTGAGATTCCGCTTACCATGTCTGCTAAAATATCTTCCTGTCTACAGTAGGGGAACCATATTTACAATAATTGAAACAAAGGAGAGCATGAGCTCTGCTCAGTTATTATTTTCCTTTAGCTAACAAGCTGATTTTGCAAAGGGTAGATGGGGGAATCAGGGGCAGAAGATCTTCTCCCCAGAGGTTCACAAAAGCATGAAGGGAAATGTGAGTCTCTCAAGCCCTTCTAGACCTCCATAACCACATGTGCAGCCAGTGGGAGGACATCCTCAAAACTGCTCCATCAAAAGTGACATGGCAATTTAAATGTTTTTATTCCTTAAGTGTAAAATGAAACTGGGCTGTACAATTGCTGAGAAAAGCAGAAGTAAGTAGATTTTCAGTTTTACTGAAAGGTGATGAGAGACAATAGATCTTCAAGCCCTTCTAGACCTCCATAACCACATGTGCAGCCAGTGGGAGGACATCCTCAAAACTGCTCCATCAAAAGTGACATGGCAATTTAAATGTTTTTATTCCTTAAGTGTAAAATGAAACTGGGCTGTACAATTGCTGAGAAAAGCAGAAGTAAGTAGATTTTCAGTTTTACTGAAAGGTGATGAGAGACAATACATCTTGCATCTGAATAAATATGACATGGTTTCCGGACAACATAGTTTTATTTATAACCATGCCAGTTAATGATACTATAATACTGTTTAGTGATCATGATAAAGAATCTAAAAAGGCTTCTATCATACATAGAGACAGGCATTATAATGGTGATTACACTTCTAGCAGAAAATCAGACCCCACAGAATATGAACACACAACCTTTAGTGAAAAACAGATGGTCCACTCCAAAAAAGGGGGGGGGAATATGGTGGCGCTGTGGGCTAAACCGCAGAAGCCTGTGCTGCAGGGTCCGAAGACCAGCAGTCGTAAGATCGAATCCACGCGACGGAGTGAGCGCCCGTCACTTGTCCCAGCTCCTGACAACCTAGCGGTTCGAAAGCGTGCAAATGCGAGTAGATAAATAGGGACCACCTCGGTGGGAAGGTAAACAGCGTTCCGTGTCTAAATCACACTGGCCATGTGACCACGGAAAGATTGTCTTCGGACAAACGCTGGCTCTATGGCTTGAAGAGGGGGATGAGCGCCGCCCCCTAGAGTCGGACACGACTGGACAAAAATTGTCAAGGGGAACCTTTACCTTTACCTTTACTACTAGTTAACCACTAGTTATTCATCCTTAAACTGTTGTGTAAATTTTAATAAAATACTAATTAAATGACATTTTTATGATATTACAACATCCAGCATTCAAAATCATCTCCCTTTCTTGATTGAATGAGCCAGAGGCTAGTAATAATCATACATTTCAGTACATAGTCTTTGCCTTCCTTCTTCTTGATATGAAATGCATGTTTTTATACATCTTAGTAAAAATAATAAATCACTCAATGTTGTGGAATACACATATTTTAGTTTTAAAAACGAAAACCAGGTTCTTTCAAGGTCACCATAATATATTATATGGATAAAGTTTTAAGTACATTTGTATACAACAGGGGATGCTCTGCAATCTATGAAAAAGATAGGGAGTACTCATATAGCTACAATCATTATCAAGACATAATTTAAAGCTTTCTTTGGGGGGAGAGAATGCATTGCCTCTCTTTAGGTTAGAACATTCATATTCACATTATCAGTGCCAAATATAAGTTGTTTGGCCTTGGAGGAGGAATGTATTCTCCTGCAGATTTATATGGGTTTCTGTAATCATTTAGGAATGTGGAGTTAACCATATGACAGAACGTTTTTTTAACAGAAAAGTTTGGAGTTGCTTATCTGCTCTATGTGCTGATGCTTTATTATGCTGTGTTCAGGGTATTTTCAGGTTAATTTTAAAATATGAAAAAAGTCATTGAAAATTTAGCTTAATGTTTTACTTTAAGGGAAGTGAAATGAGGAGGTTTGTAAAATTAGGAATAGTGTGGCAAAAGTAAGAAGAGAAATATTTCTCCAACTCACACACACACACACACACACACACAGAGAGAGAGATACATTATATTTGAATGAAGGAACATACTGGATAGATTTGGAACAGAGAAAATATGTAACCGATAGATATTGAGGACTTTTTTTAACTAATCTTGATTATTTCAAACATTCTCAACTTTCATTTATTGGAAGAAGACATTCTAGATCTCAGTGAAAAATTTAAAAAGCATGGGGAAATTATTTTAAATTCTCAGAGAAGCTGACATTGTTCAAAACCATCAATGTTCATTTCATAACTTATTCACAGTAGTTATCAATATGCAGGCTTGTAAAACAAATGGATAATTTATTGTCTATGATGCAACAGAATCACATTCCTAAGTCAATGTAATGTATGAAAAGAAAGAACTAAACTACAACACCTTTACAACTTTTTCTTTCTCAGATTTTTTCATTTAGGCGTTTCTAAAATGAAGTTTTTTATATCCTTCACATGCCATTAAAAAGATGTTGTACTGCCATTGTATTTCATATGAATTAATTTATCTTTCACTATTTAAATGACTGTACTCACTTTGAGCAGGCTTTAAAGTATGATACACAATTTTTTACAGTTTTAGTGAGTGAATTCACAATATTTGGCTTGTAATAGAAAATGATGCAATAATTATCTTAACATATAAACACAAACTTTCAAGGTTAAAAAGACACAGATTTTTACTGAAATAATTCACAAGATACTGCCTGTAATTGCTTGTAACTAGGCTAATACACACTGTTTTTAAAAAAATGCAACATATTTGTTCTCATACAATTTCTTACAACAGATTTGTTCTTAAATCTTCTTAATCTATCATTTCAATAAATCATATCTATATTTAATTATTTCCTAACCACTGGATGACAGTAACATAGCCTCATGTTTTAAAGTTCATTTTCCCCCTGTTGTGCTTTGCCATCATTGCCAGTGTAACATTCAGTGGCATTACATTGTAATTAATCATTTAACAAAAATATTCCCTGAAGTTAAGTCACATTCCTCTGCACACTTTCTTTAAAGTAAGTCTACTGAGCTAAGTAAGCATGCATGTTGTTGTTTAGTCAGTCCTTAAGTCATGTCCGACTCGTCCGGCATCATATCTTTTAGCCTTTTGCTTCTGTCCATTGAGTTTTCTTGACAAAGATACTGGAGTGGCTTGCCAAAGCCTGCTCCAGGTGGATCGCGCTTAGTCAGAACTCTCCACTATGACCTGTCCATCTTGGGTGTCCCTGCACGGCATAGCCCATAGCTTCTCTGAATTACTCAAGCCCCTTCGCCACGACAAGGCAGCTTTCCCTTCCTCCATGAAGGGGAAGCATGCATAGGAGGAGGCTATGAAACAAGTATGCCAAGCAGTTATGGAGAGTTGTTAACTCTAGAAATCCACTGAAATTCATTCTCAGCTAAATTCCAAAAGGGTAAGCCATGTCAGTCTGTTCTAGCAAAAAACATGTGATACTACAAGGGTCAGGCTTGCACTCTACTCTTTTCTTCTTCTGTGAGTCAAAAGCAGATAAGAAAAAGTGTATGTGGCTGGCTTAAACCTACCACAGTTCTTAATGTCTGAATTATCAAAACTATTATATGGTAATGGTTGTTGTGGGTTTTTCAGGCTTCTTGGCCGTGTTCTGAAGGTGGTTTTTCCTAACGTTTCACCAGTCTTTGTGGCCGGCATCTTCAGAGGACAGCAAACTGTGCTCTGGTGTAGTTTGGCTAGGGCGTGGAGTATTTATGGCTGTGTGTTGGGATGATTACTGTGTATTGTTATGGGTGTATTGTTTTCTGTGGATGGGTGATTAGTGTGTTTTGTTGTGGGTGTATTGTTGTGATAAGGAGATTATCTGTCACTATGGTTGATGGTAGTGATCCCCTTGACCTTGTGGTTGGGTATTATATGGTAAAATTATCATCTGAGGACCAAATACAGTTTGATCCTGATTCTTTATCTTTCCTTAATTTTTGCTTTTAATAATAATAATAATAATGTGCTGACTCAATTCTGACTTATGGAGACCTTTTTCAGGCTTTCCTACTTAGAGAATGCTCAGAATTGGTTTACCATTCCCTTCTTCTGGGGGCCGCCCTGGGACTGTGCAGCTTGTCCAAGGCCACACAGACTGGCTTTACTCACAGGAGGCACCATGGGGAATCGAACCCCCCCCCCAACTTCTGGCTCTGCAGCCAGATGACTGAACAACTAAACTATCTTAAGTTCCCCAAATCCTGCAGATTTGCAGTTTGATTAAAATCTGAAGGGGAAACTTCTGATCTCTTCCTTTCATGTATGAAAGAGGGGCAGCACAGAGCTGAGGTACATGAGAACATCAACCTCACCACATAGCAGCTTTCCTGTTACAACCGAACTGGGCCAGAGACCTATGAAACCTTCAACACGAACAGACTTTTTGGGACATAAAATTAAACAGCTTTTGAATCTATTTAATGAGGTGAATTAACTGTCATCCTTATTAAGAAAATCACATCAGCTGAAGGGGAAAGGAAAACCTGTGAAATGTTTAAGGTGCCACAAGACTCTACTGTTTATACTCCAATGATAAAATAGTTTCATAATATTAACTCTCTTTTTTTGCTATTTGTCATCCTGTGGGAATCCTGGCTTTTCTAATGAACAACATACTGGTGCATTCTCCTTAATCATTCTCAATTGCAGTGGAGTGCCTAAACAAGTCACAGAGCTTTGCTCCACAGTTAATTTATCATTTGGCATCCTCCCAATAAACCAGAGAAACAATAGTTTGCTCTAATGACACCTCACATCCCTGTTTATTACTGAGGACATAGATTAAAATAACAACTCACAACAAATTAACTCAAAACTAATGTTCAGGACACATTTGAGTTTGTAGACTCTCAACAGGCATTCCAGTAGGAAGGCTGTCTGCATATACTATTCAAAAAAATAGTCACTGCAGAAGTGCCATATAGCTGAGTTGCTTAATTTTTTAAAAAACTAAAGTTGTACCATGCTCCAATAGAAGAGGCTCCTGGTAGAGTGTGCAGAAGTGAAATGGAAGTTTCTACAACTCCTTATCAAAAGAAAACATTCAACAGCTAATATGACTGTTGATCCAGGTCATAAAGCCACCTTTGTAAGGAAACCACATTATACCTGTTTTATACCAACTGCTTTTCCAGCTCATTTGGAAAGAATTGTAAGACAGAGTTAACTGTAATGAGTTTTAACTGTAATGAGTTTTAACTGTAATGAGTTTTTTTAAAAAAATAAAACAGTTATTACCCAGAATCCAATTAGCAATCATGGAATGTAACTGCTCCATGAATAGAGAGCATCATGATTCCTTCAGGTATCTCTAGCTTGCAAGGTCACGAAGTGGACATCACCTAGTTACAAACAACGGGCCTTACACAGGTGCAAGGGGTAATAAATACACCCTTGTGCAACTGGCACAATGAACTGTTGTGGGCCAAGGGCAAAACAAGCAGCATTTTAGTAAATATAATTAACAGCAAACCTATATTAAAATTTTATGTTTTCCCATTAAAAACCTAAAAGTTATTTGGAGGATTTAGCACACTGACAAGATTACAACCTGAAGAAAGAATTGGAGAAATAATTTTGCTTCTTAAAAGTTTCCTAGAAAGTGATCTCTGCATCAATACAGTTTTACAAAACACAATGAGACATACTTTTCAGTGCATGTGCATCCACTGTTAACACTGTTTATCAAAAAGTCACAGCAAGACATACCTTGTAATGTCAAAAGGAAAGCAGAATTTAGGTAGGATGTGGAGCAGTTCCTGTAAATACAGAAGAAAGAATGTTAGAGATGTTTACAAATTACTGCTTCTGGAATACTGTTTGCTTTTAAACATTTGAGTAACGAAGCAATATTTAGCTAGAAAAATGGAAAAACGATTGTACATATTCCTGGACTTCAATAATTTATTATTAAAAAGGAATTAAGTTTGTGCTTTGGCAGATTGCAAAGACAATGCCATAGAAACCCCAGGAGGGAAAGGCCTGGCCTGAAGGGTATTAACACCCTTCACATCCCCGCTGGGATTCCCTTCAACAAGGCCATATGGATTTTACAAGAAGCACCGTACCATATGGACATGCCACGCCTGCTGCTACTTGTACTACAGACTAGCCACAGGGACTTCTGACAGATCCTGGCTCAAAAATACAAATGTTGTTTCAATTAAAATGCAAGCAGAGAAAGGGGAACCAAGTTGGCAGCAAAATGAATTTACTGAGAGCTAAACAACTCTATACGCATTTCATAAGCTAATGTTTTAAAAAGCTGGGAACTTTTCATTGACTATAAAGCAGAATTAACCCCTTAGGACAGTCATACAAGGTTCCAAGTACAACCCACCGAGGTTTTTTTTTAAAGGAACTAAATACAGAATTCCCGTGTTTTTGTGGAAATTGTAACCTTATTCCCCCTTTTCTATCTGTGGTGTTGGTTAATAGCATATAAAAGGTGTTAATAAAAATAACCTATGTTGCTTCTGAAAATGACATGATACATGGAAACCTGAACAAATAATAATAGTAACTATTGCCCCAAGTGGTCAGTATCAATATGGTATAAGGAGAAATATTATTGCCAGTTGTTCTTTATTGTAAACTCATGTTTTCCACAGATCATTATTACCTCATTTATGTAATACCACCAATATACACTACATTGGACAAAGGAGACATGATCCTGCCCTGGGAACTTCAAATCTAACTCTTGTGAAAGAAGAGAAACAAAAAGGAGGAAAGGGAGAAGGAATGGATGAATACTGTATGAACTAGTGCTGTTAACATGCACCATGGAGATACATTTGTGGGTCACATTCATGAAAAAGGTCAGTTTTGTCTGGAGGAAGAGTGCATTTAAATCAGAAAATCACAGAGGATCACAGATAGTTTCAACCATAAACTTACACCAACTTTCATACTGCCTCCTACTATGGGGGACATGGAAGGAGCATCCTTAAAGAATGTGAACAAATTCAGGCATTCCCTGAGCAACAACATCACTGTTGAGATTTTGATATGAAAATGTATTAAATATTAATGTTGTATAGTTAAATGTAAAATGGCTGATTTTACCTGAGTCACTGTACTGACTGTATTCAGGTGTGGGTATCAAGGATTAAGACTTAATGTTGTACAGCTGTGTACATGATGAAACTTGGTGTAACAGAAAATGAAGTAATCTATTATCTGATTGGTCACAGAACTGTACATACCGTAAGTCACGTGTAAAATGAAGATCCTTATCTGCTGTAAGTCAGATCACTTTTTCCTATGCTGTGTGTTGCTTCATGTCATGTCATGCTGTCAGAGGAATGTCTGTTCTCTATGTAAATATGTAAATAGACTAAGTTGTTGGTTTTACTCTCTCAGTGTCACAGAGTCATAAGTATCTCTGCTAACCAATATCTCCTTACTCCGCTGATGTTATGAGAATGCCTATAATCAAAATTCTCAACAGTTGATCCTTCTACTCCAGTATCCCCCCAATAGGTAGTATGATCAATAGCAGAGGAAGTTGCCTATATGATTTTGACAGTGGCCTGCCACCAATAACAAAAAGGGCCCTTACCAGGGCCAACATGGCTTGTCAACTCTTAAAGAAGAGCTATTGCATCAGCTCTGATAAAAACATGATTGTGATATACTTTATTTTCAAGAAATGCATAGAGACAGTCACATCAATGCCCCAAAATATCTTGCATGAGACTTGCAGTTGAGATACCTCACCAACAGTATGAAAGTACTATACTAGTCATGACTGACCTCCAAATATCATCTATTGCTGTCACAGAACAGGATGACAGAGATAATAATAGTGGACTTAAGTAAATGCACAATAGTTATAAAGCACCTAAATGGGTACTAATGGTAACCAATGACTTTGCAAGACCATTCAGCTTAAGTGAATTGGAAAAAGCAATTTGTAGCTGCAAATATCCCAAGGCAACTGGCCTGAACGACATCCATGTAGAACAGATAAAACATTTCGGCATGCTAACACAAAACTACCTTCTTAATTTCTTAAATAATTATCTTGACTCTCTCACGATTCCAAAAATGTGGAGCATGGCACATCTGATAGAATTTTCAAAAACTGATAAAGAGCCCATAACCACAAAAAAATTCATGCCAATATCACTACTTTCTCATGTTAATAAACTCCAGGAAAGAACAACACTTAACTATCTAATGGAAATAGTAGAACCACTCATCCTACAATAGGCTGGCTTTAGACCTGAAAAGAGCTGTAGAGCACAAATCCTGGATTTAATACATCATATTCAAGGCAGCTTTGAAACTAGGAAGATCATAAGGGTAGCCTCTCAGCCCCTGTAACACTGTTCACCATCAAGTACTTACAGAAACATTATAATCTAACCAAGGATTATAAAACAGCTAAAACAAAAAATAAACTATAATAAAATAGCTACAGTAATAGCAACCTGTTTGCAAAGTCACAATTTTTTTCATCAACTTTCAAGGACAATTAGACCACTCTTTTGTCCCTAAATATCTAAATCTTACTTGGCTTATATGCTGACGTATAAGAAACACTGACAAAATACAAAGCTAAAGGCCTCCACAGGGAACCATATCCTTCAAAAGCTAGTGGGAACCAGTTGGGGCACACAACCGCAAACACTAAGAGCTACAGCCTTGGCCTTTTGCTAGTGTGGCAAGCAAATGCAACAGTCCAATGTGGTACAGTTCAGCCCATGCAAAACAGGCAGACTTAACAATGAAAGTTATAAAACCATTGCTGGATGCCTGAAGCCAACACGTATTGATAAAATTCATTATCTGGCAGGCATTGCACACAGTGGCAGAGAGAGGTAGCAGCTAATAGTGAAAGAGTCACAACATCTACATCAAATATGAATCACACTTTGGCTTCCACCCTGCCTCCTGCCTAGAGAATCTTGAAGGAACCGTAGAGAATGTCAGGACTATAGCACAGAAAGAAAGAAGCACCCACCTCCTAAAATGTATGAAACCCCAGGAAAGTCTATCTCATGTGCCCAACTGTTGAGCTTTGCACTGGCTTTCTGGCCTATCAAATTATACTTTGTCACCAATGTTCCCTCTGCTTTTCAGCCCCGCTGGGTGGGGCTCTGTCTCTCTCGCACGTAACTCTGCTCCCCCTCTGCACACATGCCTCTGTCCCCCCCCAAGCGGGGTTCTGTTCAATCAGAACCAAAAGGACTGAAAACAATCGGTGTAGGTGCTCAGAGATGGAGCAGCCCTGCATGTGTGTGTGTGTGTGTGTGTGTGTGTGTGTGTGTGTGTGTGTGTGTGTGTGTGTGTGTGTTGGCAAGTGCACACAGGTGCGCATTTTAGAGTGAACCTTGTTTGCCACTATTCTGTAACCATCACATTTGCATCAAATGTTATGCTGATTAATGGTGTGTGAGTCCTGAAATCTGCTGTATTTAGGAAATTATTTACTTCCTTTTGGGGGGAGGGGCTGAGTTATAAAAAGAACTTTGTCCTTAGTTCAGTGCAGACATAATGCACTGCAAACTGTGATCTGGAAATCAAGAGTCCCCTTGTCAGAAGTATTTTCCTGCTTTCTATCACTCTGTAGTCTTCAGTGGTGATATCATGTTATATCTACCCTAAAACAAACCCTGAAAAACCATGTTCTCTTAATATGCTTTGCAAACCCTCTGGTTTTAGCTTCAGGTTTACAAGGCTTGAACTGATCATGGTCATAGATGGGATGAAAACAAAAGAGCTAAAGCAGGGGTGGGCAATTAATTTCTACAGGGGGGGGCACATGAAAAATCTGAACTGTGTTCGGGGGCCGAACCAACTTTACTTAAAAATAAAATGAAACAGTGATGTTATGATTGTTTTTATTTTAGACTTGTTAATCTTCACAAATACTAAAGAGTTTTTTTTTGCTGTATGTTAAAGATAAGCAACTGATCAACTTTAGACAAAAAGCTATAAATGGTTTTGATGTTTAAAACTGTCTGTGGGCTGGATAGGAGTGGCTCGTGGGCCGTATGTGGCCCTCGGGCTGCACTTTGCCCAGTTCTGAGCTAAAGAAAGAAGTCAAGCGCTGCACACACATTGATAAACTGGTTCGTGGTTTTCTACTTGTTGATATCAAGAACCAAATGGTATACATGTCTTTTAATATAGCACATTACATTCCAGAAAACATTGCTATTTGCGCTCTTTTATTGATGAGAACTGAGACCACCCTGGAAATAATGTTTAATTAATTATGCCCCATAAAGTTAATTCTGACTTATTGTGACCCTTTCCACAGTTTTTCTAAATCCAGAGTAATCAAAAGTGGTTTATCATTCCCTTCTTCAAGAGGAGAGGGCACTCTGGGGCTGTGCAGCTTGCCCATGGCCACACAGGCCGGCTCTTCTCCTACAAAGCTCACTGGGGAATTGAACTCCCAATGTCTGGTTCAGCAAACATACCTAATTCAATGAGCCAACCCAAATTCATAGCCGTCTGCTGATCACAAGCAAATAAATAAACCTAACGTTGAAGAGTTACTCAAATAATTATTTACACTACTGTTATTACAATGGTTTACATTTCCAACTTCTAGTAGAATACAGCTTTATTTGATATACTGGGCTTCCCCAGTGGTAGCATATTATGCCATTAAGAATGACCTCAGTCTGTTCTTGGTCCATGCTTCTTAACAATACTGAGGAGCAAGCACAGAAGACGGAATCACTGGGAACCTATATTTGCAGAAATTCATGACATTCCTGCTAGAATTCTGTTCCTCAAT